CTCGGTGATCAAACCCTGACTGACTATAATCTAATGCACGCGCAAGTCACTACGCCTGCTTACAGCTTGCTGTGAAGCACGCGGTGGAACTCGCCGAAACCGAAGGTCGAACTGTCATGGATGACACCGCTATGGTAAGAAATTATAGACGCAGCGCGAAGCATTAGAATTAGAAAGATCAAAAGCAAAACAGCCTAACCCCAGCAACTGCAAATACTGATCTTCAACTCCTAGTGCCGTGATCTTTAATAGGCGGTTCTGACAAATTTGAATAATTCATTTGACTCACTTGTGAAAAACTCGGTGGGATCCCATCCCACAACGACAAGGGGAAGGTGGGAGATTTAACCTACGTGTGAGTAAACTCACGGCCCCTGGCGGGACCCCGTAACTCAGGTGGTAGGGTGTTGACCGTACTAAAGCTTTCTCCTTGATGTCGTAGTCTTTTTTCTTCAAAGTTAAAAAAAACTCAAAATGCATTCTTTACCAAAAACTATAACCTGAGGGTGAGGCAAGGATAACCTTTCTTCGCTAAGATTAGACCCACACAACAACCTTTTGCGGTCAAAGACAGAGTATCATGCTCCTGGCGGGACTCCGTAGCTCAAGTGGTTAGAGCGTTGGCTGTACTAACGCCTTCCCCTTGGTGTCGTAGATTCGATTGGGTCAAAGTAACTACGATATTTATTTAATTGCAGGAAAAAGATGAACTGCAACCATACGACGCCGATGACCCCTTAAAGTTACTTGCTTGCAGACGAGATGGTAAAATACATCCTGACGCCTCTGTCTTCTAATGCTACTTAAAAAGTGTTAAAAGCACTTGCATAAAGCATTCAGTCACGTAAGACCTTCATTCCGCCTTCCCGACTTCGAATTTGACGCACGTTCGAGAGCCGAAGAAAGAACAAAAAACAGTTCAAACTGCCTTCCCCGGGCTCATATATATTCATATGAGTCAACAGAACCACCGCATGAGCAGCCAGCGTAATCTCCGTGCAAAATTAAGCAATGATTTGTAGCTCTGCGGGGTTATAAGATTTGCCAAAACTTTTTGAAAGCAGAATCATCTGCAACATTTACTTAGAGATCAATCGAAACCATATTTTTTAAATAGCGATTCAAAGGCGAGTATAAGAATTCTGTAATATTCTGTTGGTGAAAGACATATTTAGGCGATACAAGATAAAATACGAGTTCCGTAAGTTATTTGAGTTGAAGGCGACTGGCTTTTGGAACATGACCGCTATTAATCGGACGTTTAGAGTTCGCTATCGAATCAGCATTAGCAAAGGACAGAAGCAGCTGGCGCGCAGAGGGCATGTTATTAATGGGAAACAATTACAATGCAATCACGCATCGAATAAAAGTAGCAGTTTCCGCGTCCACTAAAAAAATTCCTAATTGAAACGACGATGGCTTAGCAGTCCGCATCCAAACTGCTGATGGCAGCGAGTGCAGCATAATTGTTGACGATGAGTTAAATTAATTATTTGGTACGTGGACTCGCTAGTACTGTCAGTGGGAGCAGATTTCACTTGCGTTAGCTCCGCTTGCCTGTTTACTCGGTCCAATCAGAGCCCTAGCGCTGAATAAAGAGCGGAGATAGTACTGCGTTTATTTTAGAGGAACTGGAGGTTGGAGAATCCTGCTGAAGGCGGCTAGTGACTCGGGAGTTTTTCACTCCCCCATGAGGATTGCAGCCAAGTCGAGCTTCAAGTTATGATCGAATGATCGAATGAATGGTAGTTTGGAATTTCACACCATTCCCCTCGCGACTTATGCGTGTTCAATCATCCGCATCCAGGTGGATCTTCCCGTTTCTTCTAGGCAGTCGCTTGGCGTGCAACTATGCCAGGTCTGACAAAAGACTCCAGAAGACTTGCCAGCGCCCAAGTGGCGTGAGAAGGCGGCTAAAGGGCTCAGAGCCGTTCCCGACGTACCCAGTATGTTGGTCTGGTGCGATTTGACCCATGGTCTCGTTTTTGAGTGCACTGTTTGACAAACTTACGCGAGTATTCATTCAGTCATAACGTCCGTCGAGGGTATCGTAGTTTAATAACCTTGTTTTCTGACAACGCAGTGTATTTACGCACGCTATTGGAACGTTCTCACATGACTGCATTATTGACTGATTTGATGTTTTCTTTTGATGCATGGTACTTCATCGTACATGTTGCCTGTCTGAGCACTTTGGTTTTGGAGCCATTGGAATCTTTGCAACAAATGAAGCACAAGGAAATGCCAGCTGGCTACTCTCTTTCTACTCCATCACAGACTGTAAATTCAGGAAGAGAATTTGCAGTTTTTTTATTTTAACACCTGCGATGGCTGCTACGCCAGTCGGTTATTACTATAAACTAGTCTAGATGTAAGTACCCGTCCTGCACCTACCTGCTGTGAGGCACACGGTTTGCGTCGTCACATGCGACGGTTGAATTAGAAAAAAAAACATCGGACCCCCTTCGATGACGATGACGGTATCCTCTATAGACAGAGTAGCACCTGATGACTGAAGGAACTGCCAACTATCTGGATAATTTTCGTACGGTCCGCAACCCCGTAAAAAATGCAGTAATCACCTCCCCTCCTCATCGTCCACTAAGTTGGCCTCAAGTCCCCGACTGGACAACCCGCTCGGTCATACGCCCGAGCGGCTGATTAACACGTCCACTGATAGTGCTGATATATTATATTGCAAACTCACTATCACGCCGGTCATCAGTGCTGATGGGGACGAGACCGTAGAAGAAAACATATCTAATGTGGACGATCAACCAGTCATTGCGCCACGTACGAGCATCCGGGATAAAAGTAAAAACTGCCACTTTTAGCATCGCATAATAACTGTAGTCTATGTATGGTAAATGACCCAATTCACGTTATGTTGTGATATAAATATGAGCGAGGAGTTTACCGAACATTTTGTCTTCATATTTTGCATAGGTTTGAGGCTCAAAACGCTTTTTTTCTAAAGGAAGCTGCATAGTCAGTCTTGTATATCGAAGGAAAGCAGGCAGGGTTTGGGTGAAATCGAAAGCTGCCGGGTATCTAAGAAATTGTTTATACTATCTACTAGGGTAGAACAAAACCACTTTTTGTACTTTGCACTATAAAATATCATTAATATAAGCAGAAAATGTTCCAAACCAGAAAATATTGTGGAAACTTTAAAAATAAAAGTCAAAGTTCCCCATTTTCACTTTGATGTTACCTTGGTTAAGGGTAATTTATGTAGACATTCGTCGGTTGAATACTTAATTAAAGTACTAGTAGACAAGGTGTGACGATCACTCTCTCGCAACAAGCGAACCATGCACTACTTGTTTGGGAACCACCAATGACCGAGTGGCTTATTTGCGATTGAAGGGCCACTTCGCGAACATCTCTGTCGTCCCTGTGTGCGCACTAGCCTCTGCTGCTGAACAGCGCGATAAGGAGACGTTTTACTCGCGGCTGCAAGCATTAGTTGAAAGACTCTATTGCCGCGATCTGCTGAGTGTTTCTGAGGCCTGGAAAGGTTGGACTGGACTAGGTTGTTCCACAAACAGTCACCTTAGTGGTCACTTTGGGCTTGACCACAGATGTGACAGTGGTAAGACATTGCTGAACCTTGCTGAGCAGAACAGACTGTTTGTCACCAACACGTGCCTCCAGTATCACCACAAACATATACCGAACTGATATTAAAACGATGGCCATGCAGCCAGCCAGATCGTTTATATTCGAGGCAGTTCAAGGTTCCGCAGCTGGATTCAGGATATCAAATTGATGCGTGGTGCCAAGATTGGTACCACACATAAGTCGAACCGTGTTGTCGTTTCGCACACGCCTATCAATTCATCCCTTATCCGCGCTCAAAATGCCCCACCCTAGACACCTGAATATCACCAAAATCCGGCAACACCGCACTGCT